ATCTGATGTTTAATAGAAATATGGAAATAGTAGTTGAATAACTCGTGTAATGAAAATAAAATCTTAATATGAATCATCTATATTGCCGAATGAATTTTGTTAGAATATATAGTTCCTGACAATACTAATTACAATAAAATAATAGTTTTTGGTTTTATCTAATCATAAAATTTTTATAATTCATATTGTGAACATTTATAAAAGTTGTATTAAGAAAAATATTACAATTTGCCCTAATAGAATGAAAAATGGAGTATAGCACATCTTGCAAATGTTATGCCACATATTTTATTAATTGTTTTGATTTTGAAATTTGTGTAAAAAATAAGAAAACGTATGAATGGTTTTAGCTACTTCTAAAAATTTTATTTTATTTATCATGCTTACTATTACTTTAATTTTTGATTACATGTATAGATTAGGGCGGGACACAAAGGTCCAATTTGATTTTCAGCAGTTATGTTGTGAAAACGAAACCAACTACAGCACAATAAATAATACATTTTAAATAACTATGATTTTTTTTGCTATTTTCCAAAATATTATCACCTAGTCGTTTTTGCCCTGAAAAAGAGATAGCCAGTCAAAGACAAAGAAATCCAAATTCTTTTTATGATTTTAAAAAAGATTTTATTTAATAATATCTATAATATTTCAATCAATGCGATGCAGTGTCATTATTAGGTTGAACATTATAATAATATTGAAAATTATAACTTAAATATGTATTATACAAAACCAACATAAATGTCAACTTTTACTACTATCATAAATCTTGCTCTGGTATAGGTATTTATTATTTATGTTTAATTTATCATAGCCAGATTCATTGTATGCTATCAAAGTTTTTTGAATCATTCAAATCGGATGCTTACTTCTCCCCAAAAACTGCCATTTTTTGCATTTAACATTTAACTCTATATCTCTTAAGCGGCTGGACTTGCCTTTGCCAAAATTTAATCACCATTTTTTCCTGATGTTATAAATCGAATATTTTTCAGATCATTCAAATCGGTTGAACTGTTCTCTTAAAATCTGACATTTTCAGCACTTTTTGCTCCATATCTCTGAAACCGCTGGCCTGTCTTCGTCAAAACTAATCGGCTTACAATATGAATCGAATGTTTTCTGAACCATTCAAATCCGTTAATCTGTACGAAAAATTGTCTCCACACATACGCACGCACACTCACATATACACACACACATACATCCATTTTTTTATGATCTCATGGCTGACTAGATTGCCACATCACTCTTGTGTTAGAGAAAATAGTTATAGACTAGTGGTGTATGGCATCGACAAAAATTTGTATCCGCACACACACACACATACACACAGACACACACATACATCCATTTTTTTTAAAGTATGCCCAAATGTTCAGAAACCTCTGAAACGTAAAAATATATAAAAATTTTCATTTTCGATTTTTATTGCGATTACTAAAACTTGCTCTACGGGAAGTTAAAAACATATTTTTTTTCTATATTTTAATAATTAACTCTATGGGGTATGATACATCATAGGTATGATACATCTTAGTTTGAATGCAATAGTAGACGATTCAATTTGTCAAACAAAGGTGATGAAATTTGTCTTGAACCATTCTTATATTTCATTTAGTTCAGTTTGAGAAGCAATGTCATACAATGTACACAAAACAAAATAAACTAATAAACTAAAATGTGTACCAACTCCTACCATGTGTGTGTCATTAACGCATCGTTAACTATGACGTGGATTTTTTTGAAATGTATCAAATCAACAAGTGATCTATTACAAACTGTCGGCTTCTTTGGGTACATCATTTGATCCCAATTGAATCTTTATTAATCACTATTATATCAAACAATGTTTAGAAATAGATTGATGTTATGCAATGTGACAATGGAGAGTTTGATAAATTTTAATGGCATCTTGTAATGATGAGGATATAAGACCCTTAAAAGTTGCATTTAAAGCTATTTTGTATATTTCGAAAGGGGTAAAATTAAAGTAATATACGTTAATATAACGAAATATATCGTAACTAGTGGTGCCTGAAGGATTTGCTGGAACTTCCCGTACCACAATTTAATTATTCAAGCAAAAAAAATTAATAATCAATAAATATTGATCAATGATTAATAATAATTGTTTTAAATGATTATAATTACTATATATATTCGTTCATATAATATACAGTGACGATCTTATCATTCAAAACACTTGAAAATGTTTACATTAAGAAGAAATGCTGAATGAATCCATCTGAGGATATATTTCTTATATCGTATAAGTGAACTTTAAAAATTAAAACTCTTGGCACGAAACCCAAAAAAATTGTAACAAAATTTGCTCTTATTACTAAAATATCTATAAAATATCTGATAATTTGATGTGCAAATGCCTAATGATCATTTTAGACCGCCTAATGTTTCTTTTTTACATTTTCTCTGTATCTCCGAAACTGCTCCCTACTCAAAAATTTAATCAATCCTTCATATCAAAAACTAATCAGCACGTCTTCCCATCAGTAGGAATCGAATGTTTTTTGAATCATTCAAATCGGTTGACCCACGCACCCGAAATCGTGCATGAAATAATGTATCCAAACTTACACATACACACATACAGCCATTTTTTCTAAGATATTCTAAAATGTTCAGAAACCTTTAAAACGTAAAGATGTGCAAAAATTTTCATTTTCGAATTTTTTTTACTATTACTATAACTTACTCTACGGGAGTTAAAAAATTTGAAGTAATATATTTTAAGGAAAATTGATTCCAAGTGGCATTTTGCCTTGAAACAAGTTGCTACCTGATATATGTCGATATATCGACTTTCAAAAAAGTAAATTTCACCAACTTTTAGAATCGTGACAATAGTAATTCGAAATTTTTACACCTGCCTGTTTCAAACTTCAATGTATATGTGTAAATGTATTAATTCATAATAAACTTTTTTCAAGTAAATAAAAGTATATTAAAAATCTCATCGTTTACAAAAATATGAAAATGTCATAACATAATCTTTTTTATCCTCTGACGCACAAGCTTACTTGATCGCCACACCACTCCCTGTTCAGTGTTGACGTCAAAGCTTACTTGAACGTCACATACATATAAAATATGTTTCGTAGGCCTATAATATTTTACGATTTTTGTTAAGACCGTAAACGCTATCATTATACAAAGTATTTATCAAAATAAAAAAAAAACTAAATGCAAGAAATGGGCTGGGCATAGACCTTATACTACATGGACTGCTAGTCGAGCGCAAAATAAGTGCCCACTCAGCATAGGAGGGACTGTGACGTCACCTGCTGAGCGAACGTTGCCGACAATCGCGAAACTTTCCCTTTTGATTAAATGTCAAAATGTTTTATCTTAATAATATAATGGCAATTGTGATGACTGATGATTTTGTTAAAAATGATATTAATTATGTTTAATAATATTGATCATAATAGTTAATTTAATTCAAATATTATCTGACAGTGATAGTTTTATTTCAATAATGTAATGGCAATTGTGTTGGCTGAAATGATATTAATAATGTTTCCCCTGTGAAATAAAAGTACATAAAATCCAATCCACCTGTTAAAATCGGTTTTTATATTATAAGGCCTATGTTAGGCACCTAAGGTTCGCGAGTTCTTCTCGAGTTTCATCAAATAGTTTTTATATTTTTGACATTGGTGCTGCCGTTTTTGAAAAAAATGTCGATAAAATTCAAGCTTTTGCGCATACACATACACACATACTTTTCTTTCACGGAGTTAATTAATTTATATTATTCATGTTTTAGTTTCAAATTTCAAGTCTTATGTTGAATGTTAAAAAACTTAGAGCCATTCACAGTGAAAGATGGTAACAAATGATTTTTTTGTACTTAAGCAAATAATTAAAATGTATGTAGGTATATGAAATTTTTGGTATACCGATCAACGAAATCTTAGAACTTTAAAAAAAGCTATTTCTTATATAATATTGCAATTGAAATAATACTTTATCATCGTCAGCTTTTTTTTTGAAAACGGGCCAATCGATCGATACAAAAGATTCAAATTACATATCTACTTTACAAATTGGTAACGCATGAATAACTTATACTGCTATATAATTATTTCTTGAAATACAAACAGAAATATTGATCAAAATATTTACTTTTTCATGTTCAAATATGAAATCAATTTTTAATAGTCATTATTTGAAAAAGCTATTTCACACTCAAATGAACTCAACGTAATATCAAGACATGTTGACATAAATGGATGGAAAATTTGGAAAAACTGCCTTGCTCAATTTGTTGAAAACTGCTGCATTTTAAAGCTTGTTTTTTTATTTAAATCAATGTATGAATTATACGTAGATTATTTTTACTATAAATTTGCATACAAATTTCACCGTAAATTATGAAAATTTTAGATGTACTTTATTACTTTTTTGAACAATAAGTAATAAAATTGAGCGTTATAAGTAATAAGTAATATTATTAAATTAAATCAAATTTAATTAGCAGCTAAGACATAATGCTAATATTTACATAGAACTTACTAATTAATAAACATAATATTTACAAATCATACTTTATAATTATGTGTTTTGATCATACTAAATGTAATGAAATTTTGTTCAGATTTTGTGTTTTTTCTATTTTTATGGATTGCTTAAAAATGAGTATAATTTCACAGACATATTTCAAACCATTTCATCGTTAGAGTCTCTACTTTTATTATTGTTTTGTGAATTATGTATACATTGTTATTTTGTTCAACTGTATTAAAAGAGATACAAGTTTAATGTAAATGTCTAATTAAATAAAAAAACAGATTGGTTTTCTATTAAAAACCAGAAATAATCCGGTTGCTTGACGTAAATATTGTTTATCACATTATTAGTTAATGTAATGGTAATTAGTTAGTTAACCGCAATTCATATCAACTATTTATTAGTTTTCAATTGAATAGAATCATATTTCAATGGGTGATGATTTTTTATAGTGTTACGTAACTGGGGCGGTTTTGCTGCTTGCTGCAGCTTGTGGTATGCCAATTGGTTATTCGGCCGTTTTGCTGCCGCAACTTCAAGAAAGGAATGACTCCTTGGCAACAGATGCCGACATGGGCTCCTGGATTGGTACGTAGTCTTAGTAAACTCGGAAAATATATTTTTACTTAAATATATCTTTACCATCAAATTTATTTGTATCTCCCATTTGAGAATACTTCAATTTAAGCTCTAACCTTGTAAATTAGTATCGTTTATTTAGTAGAAGTATTCTTTTTTAGGCCTAAAGCCTACAATATGATGGTGCAAACGATATTGCATGAGAGTTATGCTAAGATTCACATTTAGAGTAAACTATACCAACTTTAATTTTTTTTCTTAAAAAAGTATTCGAGAAACAAAGCTATGGTAGCTACACCTCATGAAACAAGACAAATTGAAAATTGAAAAATATGAAATTTAGATATTTATTTAGTTTGCAGAAAAGCTCAAAATCTTGAAACATCTTATTATAAGACCGACAATCCATGTATAAGTAGAAATAATATTATTTCATCACATGTTTAAATTGAATAGAAAGGAATTTTATTAAAAATTTTGATGATTTTTTATAAACTAAATTAAATTAAACTACTTTTCGTTGAATTAAATTTATGTTAATTCTTGAAAAAATTTTTTTTTGCAAATATTGAAGCATTGAGAGAATCAGCAAATAGAATTTTCTGGTGAAAGCAAAAAATTCTTCTTTAAGAAGTTAATAAATTGATGTAACAATGAAGTAGATACATGCAATTATTCTTTAAGACTTCGCATAAATCTATGGCTTGAAAATTAATTAAATTTTCGTTTCCTATATATATGAAATATACATTATGTGTTTGAATTGTTGCTCGTTAAATAAATATACAATTCGTTAAGTTTATTTTCTGAGCCCGCATCATGTCGAAATCTCTTCTAAAATGGATCGACTCGTCTAAAAGCACGTTCTTCTGAAATCTTGTGCAATTAAATCTATTGTAAGTTGATTAAATTGCGAATGTTTTTGTTGTTTACTTATTTCTTAAAAATCAATCATGGAGATTAAAGGAATAAATATAAATGCCTTCAAATTTTGCTAATTTTTAGAGTAGAATACTGTATTTCTTATAAAGTATTATAATATTGAAGATAAATAATTATAAAAATATAATTATTTAAGAAGATAACAGCCATAGATTAGACTGAAATTTTTGGAAGTTCTGAATTTATGAAGCTCAGCCTAACTTTCAAAATGTAGGAAAATGAATGTTTATCTGACTCGCACGATTTTTTATATATTTTGTTATTAGATTATATTTTATGATAAGTGAAGCATCGGTCTTGCTGAATAGTTTTATTATGCTTAGGCACTAGCTATTTATCTTTACATTATCACTGGATTATGTCCCAAAGTGGCTCCTTGATCACGTTTGCGATTATCAGGAACAAAGAGTCTCATCGTCTGATCCCTATCAATTACCCTAAAATTGTTTGGTGTTTTTCCCCAAAAAACACAGCCACAAGAATTTTGCAACATATAGATTTGATTTTAACTGTCCTTTAATAGTGCCTTAAAGCAAATTGCTGGAACTTCCCGTACCGTAACGAAATGTTCGAGGAATATTAAATGTTATCAAACAGACTATTATAAATAAATACTGTAACATTGTCTAATATTTATAAGAATTATATAAACTGAATTGCAAAGTTGAAATTATTTGTTTAAAGTATATCAGAACTTAAGTCAGAATTACGAATAAAATCTGAATTATTTTCGATATACAGAAAAAATTTTTGAAAAAAAAAAATTAAACAATTTTTTTTTCAAAATCAACTATTTTGTTAAAACAAGCAGAAAGTTTCTTGAATCATTTAAATCGGACGCTTAGTTCTCTCAAAAACTGCTATTTTGGCACATTTAGCTCTGTGTCTTCGAAATGGCTGGGCCTGTCTTTGCCAAAAACTAATCATCTGTTCTCCCAATCATTACAAATTGAATGTTTTTTAGATCATTCAAATCGGATGCTCCGTTCTCTTAAAAACTCGATTTCTATTTTCTGCACTCTTTTCTCTTTATTTACGTAACAGCTGGACCTGTCTTTGCCAAAAACTAATCGGCACATTTCTCTATCAATAGGAATCGAATGTTTTTTGAACCATTCAAATCGGCTGATCTGTGCGCCCGAAAATGTGACTGGACAATTGTATCCGTACATACATACACACACACACATCCATTTTTTCTGAGGTGTGCCAAAATGTTCAGAAACTTTCAAAACGTCGAGAAATGCAAAAAATTTCAATTTCGATTTTTGGACGATTATAATAACTTACCCTACAGGAAGTTAAATATAGTTATTTTTTATACACATGTAGCCCTATTTTTTTCTCTGTAATTGTATTTTTATTTAAGTAGAAGTAATAGTTGTTAATACTTTTCATGTTATATTTGTAGATTTTTACAAAACATAGTTAAAAACTATATGGCGGAAAAAAGTCAGTGCATTAAGTATTATTTATGCAAATATTCCAGTTTTGTAAATACCCTTCTTCTGTCATGTCTACACGCTGATTGTGTTCATTTACATATAATATGTCTGAATATGTCTTTATTCAATACTTAATTCTAAGGTAATTGAGAATAAATAAAAAAATCTATTTTCCTTGTTTTCAGCATCTGTGCATTCTCTGGCGTCTCCAGTTGGGTCATTTCTTTCGGGTTCTCTGATGGATCGTTGTGGTCGTCTGAGGGCATTGCAGATCTCGGTCGCTCCACTCATAGGCGGCTGGGTATTGCTCGGATGCGCTCCTTCGCATGCTGTCTTACTGGCCGGAAGGCTTGTGGCTGGATTTGCTGTCGGGCTGATGGCTCCACCATCACAGGTAATAATCATATCATTAAAGTTGCAATCATGGAAATTAGCCTGAATCTGAATTCTAAGGAATTGATTACGCGGTCCAATATATGCGTTCAACTCAGTTCATGGCCTATTAGTTTTTGGAAAATGTAGATCGAAAAGAAATTGTTCTGGTGTTCCAAATGGAAAACGTGTTTTTTTGGCATATCAAATAAACGAATCCTTGACCTAAACGTAACTTATTTTTATCAAGTTGTGGATACCATGATTCCAATAACTTGAACCATGTGTTTAGGAAACAAATTACAGTAGCCTTATTGGCAATTATATTATCACCATCTTTTTTGAGAAGTTCTGCTTTCACCGTTTATATGTTTAGGCGGTAATTGCCTTCAATCTTTATCATTAGTTTGCCGACATTCTTTAAAATTCTGGTCAAGATAAGAGTAAGAATATACTGCATTGCAGTATCAATCTCGACAGGGTAAGGAAGTGACACTCGTCGCAAAAGCTAAACTTTACTGGAGTGTTCAAATTATCATTTAATTTACTGTTCTCGTAGCTAACTGGTAAATTTAAAAAATTATGGCTTATTAAAAAAAAGCGGCACAACCGCACCCAGTCTTTCCCCCATATAAAACATAATATATTCCTAACATTTCGAAAATTTGCTTTAATTTTTATGTAATATACTAACATACAGGTAGAGTGGACTAAGTGACATTCTTATCATTTGAGCAAGTTGCGTGAACGTCTCGATATCTGCAAATATTTTATTTAGTCAATAAAAAATTATATTTAGCGTATAGTTTTTTAATTGCTACAAAGGTTTTCACAAATAATTTTGTCAAGGTTACGAATAATCAATTATATTAACACTTTTCGGTCGAATTAAATTTGGAGATCGCTATCGTAGTACTCGAAATTATTTTCCGTCGATAGAGCAGCACACAGTTTTTAGGTTTAGGATGTGCCAACAATATTTAACCATTATCTAGTGTTATTTTTATATAAAAGTTATGTTATATAATTTCATTTTATGATGTATGAATGCAACGATTTGAATAGTAACTTGCCGTGGTGGTTAGATACATACCACCGAAAACGGTTAAAATACCTAATTTCCAAACAATTTTAGCATTATCCTGATGTTTTACGTAGATAAAAATATGTCTGCATTTCTAATAGTTGGTTTGAGTAATGTGTTGCAAATTGGCAATCCTCTCGTTAAATATTCTTTTTCGAGTTAGAGTTTAACTCAACTCACGAACCCAAATATTATTGTTATGAATTTATCTGTAAATAAATAAATAAATGAAGAAAATAATAAATATGCAAACGACAGCGTGGCCTTTTTTTCGTTTGTCCACCTTGAATTGAAAATAATCTGTGGGCATGGGCGTAGCCAGGTTATACTTTACTAATATTACAACAAACTGCAATTAAGAAGCACTATTTAATCATCTATAGAATGGGGGTGATAGTCAGCAAAATAGATATTTAAAAAAAATAAAAAGCTGCCTTCCTTGTGTTTAGAAATCTGAAAGCATGCTGCACGACAGCACGACATCTGCTTCTATACGAGTACTATCTCCCTGCATTCGACATGTTTTTATTCCTAGAAATTATCAAAATTGAGAAAAATCTCATTCGAGAATTTAAAAAAACAAGAATATCACTTTCTTTAATACAAGAGCCGTATGCTAATTTTGGTAGGATCTTCAAGATAACAGATTCAAGTTTTAATTCTGGACCTCAAGAATGGTATCGAGTTTCTAGGGTTAAGGAAACCGTAAAAGAAACATTTTTCTTTTTATATATAAATTGTTTATAGTTTTCAAATGAAGTTATTCCAAATGCTTTTGAATGCGAATGAATGATCTATGTAAAGGTGCCTGATGATTCTTATTTTTTTTTTTTAAATACTACCAAGTTGTGATTTATAATCACTTTTGAAACATTTAGAACTAGGATAATAATATTTTAATTATTAATTATTGTAAATTTCTAACGTCAAGTTTGTTGCTTCGCAAGTTTTTAGTAGAGTTAATTGTTACTAATTTCATTTATTATCATTTATTTAACATATTATCATGGGCACTGATTATAAATATCTATATTATTTCTATGCTTATAGTTTACGATTTAATACAATCACGGCTAATGAAATTTGATAACTTGTTTTAAATTAGTATGTGCTTGCGAATCATTTATGCCATGGAATATTTGGAAAGTAAAATAGTGATATAAACATATATAATAGTGTTTATGCTGAATTAAAAATGTAAAATACACTATATGCTACTATTTATATCAATACTATTTGTAAACAACAACATATAATACGCGTTTTGTAATTAACGGAAATCACAATATGATAGAAACAAAATGGAATGATAATTTTTAATATTTTATCATTTGATGTTGCGTTTAGAAGCATATTGTTTTATATATTTCATCGTCGTGTGTTGTTCATGAATAATTTTGTTACGTGGGTGGTACGTCGACCTCGTCCTGAAGAAAGTTTTCCATTGTTTTCCTATATATATTCGCGATCGTTTATTTGTCTTGTTAAATCTTTGATGTCTTATGTATGTGATGTTGAAAAAGATTTTCTATTAATAACATACTCTACTTTTATAATAAAGTTGTTAACTTCCCGAAGGAGAAGTTTATGTTTTCGTCAAAAAATCCGATTCTCTAATTTTATGTTTTCTCGACGTTTCAAGCCATTCTGAATCGAATGAGACCAAATTTGGAAAAAGTATGTGTGTGTGTGTATGAGCAGATTTTTTACCGTAAATCGACGTTTTCTCAAAAACGGCTGGTCCGATTTCGAAGTATCTTGATGAGGACTATCGTTTGGCAGTTTTGCGCTGCGATCGGTCGAACCGTTTCTTTGTGAATCGCAGAAAAGTGAAAAATTTTTTATCCACGTTTTAACCCGCAATTCAGAATCGATTTTAAAATACAAAAACCGTTCGAAAGATATTGGTTGGGAATCGTGCTGATTAGTTTTTAGTAAAGATCAGCCGGACGCCGAAATTTTTTTTTCGACGATTTTTATGATTTTTTTTTTGACGGTAGATATCACAGTCTTATAGATCATACTGAAATATTACGGCCCTACGACAACTCGTTTAACTTTAAACATTCGTCATGGTTTGCAAAAATTGGTATCGTTTTTTTGGCTTTTATCAAAATTAGACCTTTCATCGACGTTTGCTCAAAAACGCTTCTCAGTTTTCTCAGTTTTGAGTGACGATCGGCCGAGCCGTTTCTTTGTAATTTGGAAAAAAGTGTTAAACTTTTCGTCCACATTTAAGCTCATACTACCGAATCGATTTTAAAAAATCAAGAATTGTTCGAAAGATATTAGTTAGGAATGATACTGATTAGTTTTAGATGAAAATCTACAGAGCCGTTTTCTTGTAATTAACTGTTGAAAAAAAATTAAGCCGATTTTTATGGAACTTTTTTGGTGATATATATCATGGTCTTATAGAACTTACTGAAATATTACGGCCTTACGACAAGTAGTTCAATTTTAAAATGAATTTTTAATGAAAGTTAAAATGAATATTAATGAAAGTTTGAGTAAATGAGTAGTTTTTTTGACATTCGTTAAACTTAAAGTTAGACGATTTACTTGGTATAACGATAGAGTACTTGGTCTTGATGAACATACTAAACCATTAAAGTCCTACGGAAACTGGTTTAATTCTAAAAATTGTTGATTTGTGAAAATTTGCGTTTAGAAAATACTCTGAGTTAAAGTGTTCGTTTGTTGTCAATTATGTGTAATAAATCCACTCGGAATACTTTTAATCACTCATAAATTAATTTATTCTTTTATTGATTAAGTCGATTAACGGGAAGTACATGTAACTTACCTCAAGACAAACTACTAATACCAACTAGTTCATTATAATTTTTATATTTAATTTTTTTTCACTGGAAACAATAAAATTATCTGTTCCGTACATTTAATTGTCCATTTCAAAAATATATACATATTAATTCCTTCATATATCCATATCAATACCTTTATTGGAATCGCAAACATACTTTACTATTCTCATCACCGGTAACATAAAATTTATCAATATTGTAATAGTTCATTAAAATTTAATTATTCAAACACAAAATATATATGTGAAGTATATCAATCATTTGTTTGTTGTTTCATTTGCATAATTAATGATGAGTAAGCATTAATGTTGTTCTAATCGAGCTTGATGAATATTTTCAGTACAATATTAATATAATAAAATGTTTTAACCCCAATATCATTAGTTCGTACTTTATCAAGTTCCAACTCACCAATCCTCATAAATAAACAGCATCATTTTCATAAATTAATAAATGTTCGAAAACTTAAACTTAATAAACAAAAATTGTACTATCATAATTAAAGCTATTTCATAATGAAGAATTCAATAGTTTTTTATTTTCAATACAAAATTAATGACCTCTATTAGCCGCTGCACTCACATGTAAACAAAAATAAATCAATAAATCAGCTTCAATCAGTAAATATCGTACATTTGTTCTTTTACACAGGTAATGACACCAAGTTTGTTTTTCATAAACACATCAATAATATTCAAGAACATATATTAAATAAAAACAAGTCAATTGTGCCACAATAATTTAATTTTTATCATAATAAAGTATTCAAAGACGGTACTCTACACTTGGTAATCTAACCTTTCTATGCCATGTTCTCTTGAAGAGTCCTGAAAATAAATACTTCGAAGAATATGATATAGAATTAGTTTTGATTATAGCAAATTTACGATATTTTAAGATACACTATTTGTTTTTTGAAAAAAAAAATCTAATTTATTCTCAACCCGTTTCTCCTAAGGCACTGTGTACTATATATCGCACCATAAAGCTAAAATAATAATACATACTTCTATATAATTGTTTAGTAGATTTAATTTCTTTAATACCGATTGACTGATTGATGACATTTTAATTTTTTATCGCGTGTTTGTGCGAGAACTAATTTTCATTGGCATTGTTCATAACTCGCGTGTTTATCAATTTTGTGATTATAGAAGCATATGTCATTTCTAGACTGACTAATCGTGGGAATACATTAAGCTCATGTAGTCATATCAATTAGAAAATTCTGAATAATTTTTGTTATCATTAGGTATAATATCAACATTTTTGATCGATCGGAATATTTAATGTCCAACGCCATTTCAAACAAATCTCTTAATATTTCTAATATGTAATATATATCAGTAATATCCGGCGTAACAATTATAAATTAAGCAGGAATGTTCATATATTTTATACTATTGCTTCTGCAAGCAATGAACGGCGATATTTCATAACATTTTTTGTTCATAGCGATCAATATCAAATTCTTATAATATGCCTTCGTGATTCGAATTAAATTTCAAAAGATTAAATCAATTTATTTGAACAGTATTGAGTATATTTAAGTCTTACCGCTAACTGATGAATAAAAACTCTGATGGGAAAACTTTTACGATATGTGTTTACTCTTGCATACGCCATTATGATGCAAATGGATCATTTAAGCGCTAATCATATTTTATAATCAAAGAAATGAGAGTTTATAATAAATGTTTAGAACACAACAACTGTTTTCTCTGCCCGACAATTTGATTCACCAATTTTATGTTATAAATTTCTGCCTGAATCACTTGAAAATTAAAAAAAAGTATACAAAATAAGAGAAATGTATAAGTAAAGTTATCTTGCGCATTTAGTTAATTAACTTCCCGAAGGAGAAGTTTATGTTTTCATCAAAAAATCCGATTCGCTAGTTTTATGTTTTCTCGACGTTTCAAGACATTCTGAATCGAATGAGACCAAATTTGGAAAAAGTATGTGTGTGTGTGTATATGTGTGTGTGAACAGATTTTTAGCCGTAAATCGACGTTTTCTCAAAAATGGCTGGACCGATTTCAAAAATTTAAAAGCCATTTGATGTATCTCGATGAGGACAAGCGTTTATCAATTTTGCGCGACGATCAGCCAAGCCGTTTCTGTGTAAATAGCAGAAAAGTGAAAAAAAAATTGTCCACGTTTTAGCCCGCAGTTCTTAATCGATTTTGAAAATTCAAAAACCGTTCGAAAGATAATGGTTGGAAATCGTGCTGATGAGTTGTTGGTAGAGATAGGCCGGGCCGTTTTCTTGTAATAAAGTGTTAAAAAATTTTTTTTCGACGATTTTGATTATTATTTTTTTGACGGTAGATACCATAGTCTTCTAGATCATACTACAATATTACGACTCTACGACAATTGGTTTAACTTTAAAAATTCGTCAAAGTTTGCAAAACTTGGTATTGTTTTTTTGGCATTTGTCAAAATTAGACTTTTCATCGACGTTTTCTCAAAAATGCCTGAACCGATTTCAGAAATTTGAAAGCCATTTGATGTATCTTGATGTGGAGTTTGTCAGTTTTGTGCGACGATCTGCCAAGCCGTTTCTTTGTAATTTGAAAAAAACTGTTAAACTTTTCGTCCACATTTAAGCTCATACTACCGAATCGATTTTAAAAAATCAAAAACTATTCGAAAGATATTAGTTGGGAATGATACTGATTAGTTTTAGGTGAAAATCTACCGAGCCGTTTTCTTGTAATTCGTTGTTGAAAAAAAAAATTTGAGCCGATTTTGATGAAACTTTTTTTTGATGATATTTATCATGGTCTTATACAACTTATTGGAATATTACGATCTTACGACAAGTAATTTATTTTTAAAAAATCATCAAATTTCAAGAAAATAAGTACTTTTTTTGACGTTAGTTAAATTAAAATTGGACGATTTTACTTGGTATACCGATGGAGTATTTGGTTTTAATCATATCAAGCCATTAAAGTCGTATGGAAACTGGTTCAATTACAACAATTGTTGATTTCTAAAAATTTACTTTTAGAAAATACTCCGTGTCAAAGTGGTCGCTCGTTTTCAATTATGTGTAACAAATCCACTCGGAATACTTTAATCATTCATAAATTAATTTAGTTTTTATTGATTAAGTCGATTAATTACACATAACGGGAAGTTCATGTAACTTGCCTCAAGGCTAAATACCAAACCAACTAGTTTTTTCTCGATAACGGTAGCAACGATTTCAATCATTTAAAAACCATTATATAGAGGTAAAGAACTTGAGCTTGACTTGATTAGATCCATTTGCACGATAGTTGGTCAATGTGTTTGTTTACAATTAACAATCAAATAAAGAATTTGATTCAGAAAAATAATGACCAGATTTAAAAATTTAAAACCCGTGAATCTGTTAAAGATTTTGTATTTTTTTTCAATTTTTCCGAAATCAGGTCCATAATATGAGAGCACCACAAATTAATGATTTCCTTTACTTCCCTTGTTTATTATTCCCATTACCAATTTGTTTATTATCCCATTACCAATTAATCATATTTTATTCATATTTATGCATTTTTCTTTACAAACTTCTGATTTCATGTTTCCTGGTCTTGTGCTTCGTTTTTTAGATTCCTGAATTTTTTCTTTACCAGCAAGTCTTCAATCGCCTGCATTCTTCTTTTTTTTTCCTAGTCCTTTTAATCCTTCTGCTTCATCTCCGTCGACGTCGTGTCTAAGGCGCTCTTCTTGCTGAGTGGGTCCGATCCTGCTCCCTTTCCTTTTTGAGATCATACTCAGTGGAATCCTTTCTTTGCGCACTCTTTTCAACACTTCTTCATATGTTTCTTTGTCTGTCCACTTTATCTTCTGCATTGGTCTCTAACACCACATTTCAAATCTCTTCAGAAAGTTTTTGTCTTTCTTAGAGTCCATGTCTCTGATCCGTATAGAGCTTATGCTCAAGACCAAGCACATTATTAGTCTCTTCCACAAGTCGAGACTCGGTTTGTTCGTCAGTAGCGTTTCTCTTCTTCGTGAACGCTGCTTTGGCGCCTGCAATCCTTGCTCTGATCTTCCTCATTCGTTTCTGGTCAGGACGCTTCCTAAGTACTTGGAGTGGTCCACATCTTCCAATTCTTGATTTCTTACTATTATCTTCAGTGGTTCAACTTATTTCGATATTTTTATCACTTCCGATTGGTCGATGTTGAACTCCATTCAGTATCATCTAACCACTTCGACGATTCTGCTGAAATATATCGATTCGTAATTGACTATTTATTTAGGTTTTCATAAAATTACTCTATAAATAATTATTTTATAAATCTGATGACATGTACAGTTTCTTTTTGAAGAAATATCTTAGCTTTTTTTCTGAAATAATAGTATTTCATATGATTTTGATTCAAGTTTTGTCGGAAAACTGTTAACATATTTAATTGAAAGATAATAGTTTGGGAAAGCGCAAATAATTTTAAGCTATTCTAAAAATTCAAAAAAGACAATAACCCACAATTTTGTGGTCGATTTTGACATTTAAAAACCTAACAAGTTAAATTATCACTAATTGTTCTGTTTGTTGACAAATTATTTACTTTCCAGGTGTTTCTGGGCGAAATATCAGAACCCCGGCTAAGGGGGACGTTGATCGGAGCCCCATTCGTGTCATATTCTCTTGGAATTCTTCTAGTATATGCTCTGGGCAGCTCTTTACATTGGAGAGCCGTAGCTGGTGCAGCAACCGTGCTGCCAGCGCTCGCCTTACTGGCGATGTGTTTGATGCCCGAAAGTCCAGTCTGGCTCGTTAGGAAAGAAAAGCGAAAGCGCGCCGAAAAAGCTTTGTTGTGGCTTCGAGGTGACGAGAAACTGGTAAGTGGCTATTATATCGCATGTATTCGCAAATTTATTTCATTTTGAGTATTCTTTGTAGTTCATTACAAATTCACACTCACCTACATCAGTAAAATAGTAATAATTTGATAGTCCAGTCATTATAGTATGTTTACCTCCGTATTTGAGATACACCTAACAGTTGTCTCAAAATCTACATATGCAGCGTACCCCCTACCATATGTAGGTTTTGAGACAACTTTTAGGTATCAATATACAAGTATTTATAGACTTACAGCTCGGTATCTCGAATTCCGAGATTCTTACCTAATTTAAGCTTAAATGACTGGACTATGATGTTTTCCGGCAATGTGCTTGCTTCTACATCTCTATAAGTTTTAGCTCTCAATATTAACTTTAAGGTAGTCCGCACTTCAACCAAAGTTTCTTATGGAAATAACATGGGTAAAATTTCATTTGTTTTTTTAGAGTTTTATAACTTAGCGACAAGTGAATCAAAATTTTGAGAATAACTTTATATTTGCATATTTTGCTCATAAATAAAAACATTACAACAAAAAATGATATTTTTCATAAAATAAGTATTTACTTAGGAAGAAGAAACAAGAAACTTCGGTTAGAGTATGGACTATCTTAAAGGTAATATTAGGAGCTAAACCTTTAAGAGATTTTTTTTTTCAATTTAGAAGCATTTGAGCGCCTGGGAACAAAGAAATTCGAAAATAACAATATTAAGGACCACCCTAATTATACAAATCATGTATGCATATCAATTTTTAAATTATCCATATTTATTTTGATCATTGATGCATGATGCTTATGATTGTGGTTCTTACTTTGCTATGAGTTAGATAAAATAATCTTTATCTCTACAAATGATTTTTGTAATTGTTATGATTGGTAGATTTTTTTTTAAAAAGCTGAGATGTAATATGGGTTTTTTTTCTAAATATGGGATCAACTTCTCTTATCGTTTTCTAGTTAGAATGCAAGCTAAGGCTTGCACGTGCCTTAATTACAGAGAAAAAATTTCAACCGCACATTATTCGAAGTTTCTTGGAATTTGGAGTTATAATCACAATAAATGTTTGAGATTTTTTTTGCTGATATATTTATATTTAAATGACGCTTACATTGCATTCATTAGTACATATTTATGCTTACAGAACAAAATGTTTAAATTGTAGTATTCACAGTGCTACTTTTCACACAATTAAAACATTGAAATTGCTGTAGATAAAACACACACACATATGTATATATATATATGTATATATATATATATATATATATATCTTTTACTATCCTAAAATATATCTCTTTTATCTGTGAATACTACGACACATAATAAATACTGCTTGTTATAATCACAAATGAGTAATCACAATTATTCACTTCAAACTTTAGACATAATTAACAAAAAATCTTGATGACAACGAGTTATATTGATTAAATATTACACAAGATATTCCTTCTTAACTATTTGCTGAATAAGGTTTAGTATTTATATATATAGTAGAAACAGTTCTGTAAAATAGTTAAAGTTTTGCTTAGTTGGTTTAATGTAATCTGTTTATGCCTGCCAACCTGACATCATTTTACCTATCTAAATGTTAGCTATCCAATGCATAAGTATTGTATAAACAATACTCATTAAAATGCAATACAATATACAAAAAATATTTTTCTAATTTCACAAAGAAGGAAATTGTAATTGGTTATTGTGACAAAAATTAGAAGAATGGAATATTTTCAATTTAATTTACATCGGAAAAAGTGTAAATGGTAGTATTATTGAGCAAAATATTAATTACAAATGGTACATGGTTTTGCACTTAGCGAGATGTTATGGATTATAAGTACAGTCACTTCATTGATAATTAAGATTAATAAGCATAGAAATAAAAAGAAAAATTTGACATGTTATTATGTTTTTCTCTTAACTAATGATAAATTAGCCCTTGCCAAAACTAATGCACGTCTCTCCATCAATAGCAATCGAATGTTTTTTGAATCATTTAAATCGGCTGATCCATGTTTTTGAAATCGTGACGAAATATTGTGACCAAACATACATACTACATACACACATACATCCATTTTTTTCTAAGGTATGCTAAAACATGTTCAAAAGGTGTTGAAACGTAAAGCTATATCAATTTTTTATATCGATTTTTTTCACGTTTACAATAACTTACTAGAAGTTAAAAAAAAGTGCAGCATCAGCACTGTTTATGTATTCTACATACTAGTTAAGATTTATTTAAATCATTTTTACATAAATCAACTATTGGGCTCCATTGAAAGAAACGTAGATTGTTCTATCTTTTTTTATTTTATATTCGTTTTTTATTTTAATTTATTAAATAACACCTATTAACCAGCGATTAAGAATAATAGTACGAAGATAGTTTTAAACACTAGCTTGAATTTTATTATCATGTGCACAACATATTTTAAACTTTCCATAGGGTAAGTTATAGTAATTTCAAAAAATGGAATATGAAAATTTTAGCATATCTTTACGTTTCAAATCAAAGATTTCTGAACATTTTGGCATATTTCAGAAAAAAATTGTATGCGTATGTGTATGTAATGTATGTATGTTTGGATACAATTTTTCGTCCACGATTTTAAAAGCGTGGATCAACCGATTTGAATAATTCAAAAAGCATTCGATTTGTATTGACAGGGAGACATGATGATTGGTTTTTGGCAGAAGATACGAGACAAAAACTGCCAAAAATGGTAATTCAGTTTTTGAGATAACGGAGCGTCCGATTTGAATATTTCAAAAAACATGTTACTTATATTGGCAAACGAAATTCTGATTAAATTTTGGGAAGGCAGGCCTTGCGGTTTCGGACATCCAATGTACAAAGTAAAGAATGCCATTTGCCGATGAAAAATGATCATTAAACATATGCACATCAAATTATAGATATTTCAATAATAAGAACAAATTTTGTTTGCATTTGATCGGTTCCTTACCAATGTTTATACGTTAACTGCAACGCGGCTCTTATGCGCTTTGATATTTCGTCTCTACGCAGCTAACGCAGCGCGATTGCTTTGAAAATAGCTCAAAATTCCCAAAATATTTCGAAATATAAAAAAAATTCAATTTTTTCAAAAAGTATTTTTTGCAAAATTTTCTAAATTCTGAAAAATGTTTTTCGAAATTCTTCAATTTTGTTATCTATTTCAGAAATTTTAATTTTCATTACGGGAAGTTCCAGCAATTTGCCTTAAGGGGCACAACTAGTGTAACTGCCTAAAAAAAGGTGATTTTTGGGAATTTATATTAAAAACACTACTTTATCAATCATTTCAAAATTTTAGGAATATATTTATACTTGTTCTAAGAATACATAGTAAAATTTTTGAAGAAAAAAATTAAATATTTTTTAACTTATCGTCGGTCTCCAACGGCGCGACAAAAAAAAGGCCCTTCACTGCTGCAGTGATTCCGGCCTTCTACGTGGATGAAATTTTAAAAAGAAAAATTGTCGTTAATCTAGATAATATTGTCTGTAAAATGAACTACGATGAAGAAAAAAAATTAAATTAAATTGGCAAAATGACGGCGTTTTTTAAAAAAAAGTCGAATTTTACCCAGAATTTTGATCGTTTTTGGACTGCCAAAGTTCGATTTTTGATCCGATCAAAAAAATCGATAGTTCATTTTACGGAGAACTATACACCTAAGTCTGTTTTTACACGGAGATTGGTTCCAGAAGAAGCCGTGTAAAAAAAGACATTGATCTTATACAAAAATGGGTGATTTGTCCTACTCTCTAAAACCTATTAAAATTAGTGAAAAACAAGAATTCATGTTTATTTTAATAATAATTCCCCTAAATTAGTGCTATTCACATTTGCTTTGACCAGTAAAAATTGTTTGTACGCGCTAAAGGGGAATTCACTTAAATCTTTAAGCTAGTGTTCGCAAACTATCGATACTATCGATGGTATCAGACTTTTTTCTTTCATAAATACTTTTTTGTAATATGAACATACTTTGCAAAAATTAAATTTGTCAAAAAAAAATTGAGTACATAAAATTTCAAATCGTGCTAAATGGAATAAAATCGTGTAAAAAAATTAAAAATATTCAATTTTCAAACCGTGTTATATCAAAACCGTGTTATATCAAAACCGTGTACAAAAAGACCGTGTAAAAACAGACTTAGGTGTATATAGAACATGTAAAAAAAATTGATAGTAATCAGATCATTTGTTTTTGAGTAATCGCTGCAGCAAATTCGGAAAATGCTGTTTCGAGAAAAACGCGTTTAAAGATTAAATGATCGTTATACTATATACTATATATGTACTCTTTAAATGGCTGTGACTTAAAAACTCAAACTATTTAAGATATCGATTTAAAATTTTGGTATGTTATTTTTAAAGGTATAACCTATCGAATTATGGAAAAATTAAAAATTCGATTTTTTGAAAATTTCACACTAGTTGTGCCCCTTAAGGCACGATGCCATGTGCCCCACTAGTTGTTTTTTTTATTTTCGAGGTTTTTTTGATGGGCAATACCTTGCGCAGAGCTCAAAACTAATTAAAAATAAATATTAAGATTCGAATCAGCATTGAGCGCGACTTGTGCTCGTTTTACCTACTTGACAACTATTACCATCACCGATGACGCAATGAATGGTGCGATATCTATCTATCGTTCGCCTCGAATCATGAACAAGGTCAATTACTCGGCTCATCTGTTCGTGAATTATCCACATTGTTTGTATTACATTAAGTTAACAATGCTAACAATATCTCTTCAGCGATACAAATGACCATTTAATGTATCAGCAAACAAGGCAATCATAATTATTTATCGTGTTAATTACCTGCGACAGCGGTGCCTCTGTTGTTAATATTTTTGCGCTTTAATTAATTTCAGATAACGATTAATAAATATTTAGATCCAAATTTTTCATAGAGATAAGCGGTTAATATTTGCATGTGAAGATTTAAAAAAAAATGCTATATATAATGTAGGCGTA